TATGAGACCTTCACTTGTCCCAGGAATTCTCAATAATCAGAGTATTTCTGATTTATCTCAGTGTTTCTCACTCACTGTAGGATTTCTAACTTCAATTCCACTAGTTATTCCTCATATTATTCCAATATTTCAGTATTCCTAATCCTAACACATTCCTCAGTTTATATAGAAACACGAAGACTTCAGCGATATGTAATTATGTTGGTCATCCAACATGATTTGTTCCGCGTGGCTGAAGGAATCAGGATAGACCTTGTTGCTATGGTAATTGATGGCCAATGCTGGGAAATATGGAGAAGGAATCTCAGGAATAATGGAACAGTACTAAACCTCTGGAGGCGGCGCTGAAGTGGACCGCTTGATAACAGTAGACGGAACGATAGGTGATTTGACTTGATAGGAAATCTTTGGATTGGTCGATCCATTGACCAGTGAGTTCACATGTTAGAAACGTGACACTGGGTTTTAATAGTGTATATTTACACTTGCTGGTCAAAGGAGCCCACACAAATTCTAACCCTAAGTTCATAATCACCACGTTGGCTCTGGTTAAAGCTTTTAAAAATATGTTCTGTCTTATTTTGGCTACTTTTCCGTCTTCACAAGGAATAATGGACCTGACAAGTTCAGTGGTTTCACCAGAAAAAGAAGCCCTAAAAAGAGAATACAAAGTGGGTGCATCTACACACACACACCCACACACACGTGCCCAGCAGAAGCTGCAGTAGACCTAATTATAAAGTGGGACATTAAATAGGGCGCAGTGAAAAAAAAACATCAGGGATGAAAAGAAAACAGCAGTGATGCAGTGAAGTCCAGCAGCGTCCGTGTGACACAGACACGAGGTGACGTATGACATCATCACACAACCCATTACTCATTAATATTGAATGTTTCCCATCACGGTGTGGTGTGGTCCTCAGAGTCTCTGTCATCAAATCAACTTTTAATTTTAAGAGGCTCGTCCTGATTGTTCATCAGCAGAGAGTGGTGTGGTTGTTTTTAGCCTAATATGTGGCTGATTGCTCTGATTAGTTTACCCTCAGAAATGACTGGGAGGGAGGAAGGGGTGCAGGGGGGTAAAAATCTGCGAGGAAGGAAACATTTTGGTTTCTCAAATGTAGAAACAGAAGAGGAAAACACTACAGAGAGAGAGAGAGAGAGAGAGAGAGAGAGATGACAGAGACCAGAGAGGAGTCGGGACGTTTTTCAACAACCCGTGTAATCAGTGGAGTTTCTGCAGTGGTCTCCGTGGGGTCTTTAAGTTTCAAGTGGCTTTCAGCGACATTTCAGGACCAAGCACCGCACTGTTCCCGCTGAGGCAGGCTTTGTTTTTTGTGGTTCAACTGATTTCTGTTTTGTAATCAATATACAGTCAGGTAAGAATCAGGTGAACGAAGAGACGAATAACCAAACAAAGAAGAAACGAAGAGACGAATAACCAAACAAAGAATTATTAGAGCAGGGGGGTCAAACTCATTTTCACTGGGGGCCACATCAGTAATACAGTTCCCGTTGTAAATGGAAGACTGTATAGATCAGGGGTCCCCAACCCCTGGTTCGTGGACCAGTACCAGTCCATAGGTCATTTGGTACTGATACAAACAGAATAGAGTCTAGTAGATGTGTATTAATAAGATTAATAGATAATATATTTTC